CGCTTCCTGTGTAATTCTGAAGGTCAATTGTTGCGTGACTCATATGAAACTAATATACATCCACTGTGGATAAAAATACTGGGCTAAAAATTAAATAAAAATGACGTCATGAAATTGCTTCATTTCTGTGAAGTATGTCAGAGATTTGAAGGATGTCTTAGTGAATACTTTAGCTATTATATATTTAGAACATGTTGGTAAAAATGACAGAAAAACCTTGGAACCCTACAGTCAGTGACACATTTGATTATAAGTTAATAGGTTTCTGTTGGGATCTTTTTGCTGTTTTTATCCCAAAAACCCCTTAAAGGGTTGGACCATTGCAAAGAATACCAACATAATCAAATTGAAAATCCTTTATTTATAGCATAACAGAAGTATGAGATGTGTAACAATCACATGTTAAGAGATTTGCAGTCACCAGACCTCTAACCAAAGGAAAAAAATACCACTTATATTCACTAAAGGATGTTTCTCCTAATGAGAGATTTCCCCTCCTTGCAGCACAGAACAACAGATCCACTTAGATGTGCCGAATTTGTTCTAGCCTTCATGATAACTCAAAATTAAAATACATATTTCATTATTTTTACAACTTTTTCAGTTATGTTCAGGCCTGTGTGTCATGATGGCTGAATTAATTTTTACATTGAAAACAAACCTTGAATCAGAGCGATGACAACACTCTGTCATCTGAGTAAATAAAATTACCTTACCTTAACACATCTGGAATGCAGGATTCTCCCAAAATCTAAAATTTGAGTTCATAAAGTGAAGATTTCACTTCCAGATTTATCCAGTGAGAAGGAGGAAATGTTCCTGAATGTATGAGCATGGAGACCTAGCAAACCGGCAGCCTTGCATGGTCTTTAAATGTCCCTGTGGAGAGCATAGTCTCCCTGTAATTCAGCACAGCAGTGAAAGGAAAAAGACTACAGAATAAAGTTTTCCTTTTCTCCACTGAGTCTATTGTTTATAAAGGCTTTACTGCACTACAGTTGTATAGCTTTCAAAGCATCCTGTGACACCATCTTTCATTGCATTAAAATACGGCTACAATTCCTTAAAATATGTTGTTGAGCCCTAAAAAGTAACATTAGGCTGATCTTACACACGTAGTGGAAAAAGAGGTTAAAATATTGATCAGGCTGCGGCTGCAAACAGTTTCTCTCTTATTTAAAACCAAATTTAAAAAAAATAGTTGTAGTTGAAGCAAATTATCCTGCCAAGAGATGCAGGACAATCATTCACAGAGAGCAAATGCTAATTTAGCACAATCTGCTGACATTAGCCAGTATTTCATGCTTAAAGGTGCACATAAAATGAGAAAATTGACCGTAAAAGAAGGCATTTTCATACGTTATAATTAAACTTTATGCTCACAAACAACACCAGCATATGCTTCTGCCATCAAGCTATCTGTAGTAGCTTATTTTATTGTTTGTTGATTTTTCCTTTCCTTTTCCTAGTTTCAAAGACATGAATTCAAATATAATTGATATGAGTTAAATTTGTACATAAATATTATTTAACCAAATTATCATTAAGCTGCAACAGTAAAAGGAAAAGATAAATACTAAAGAATTATAGAAAAGTCAAGCCTGAAAACAGTTTCTTTAGAAAAATGTAAGATTTTTTGTAAATACATTTAAATGCATGTATTTAAATGTAATGTTGTCTTCCTGTAACTATATTAAGTCATATAAGAGCAGCTCATACTAGATAAAATGTGAAACATATAGTTATGTGTTTCTAGCCCATAGAGGGGAAGACAAGCTTTAAAATAAAGCGCTTAAAGTTTGTAAAATATGAAAAGACTTGCGCGTGGTTCATGAAGTTTGTTTGCAGAAGAATCCTGATAAGTTGGTCGTAAAAGGAGGAAAAGTCAAAGTTTTCAGCTGAAGAAATGAGCCGAAGGGAAGTTGGTTGTTTTTTAATTTAGTTTTGTCATGCTGTGTTTCACAAAAGGAAACTAAGCGCTGATAAACAAACTATGTTATCTGCTCATCATTAAAAGGCTCCTTTGGTATCACTTCCTGTGAAATGCAATCTTCACAATTTAAATATAATCTTGAATCAACAATATAAAGCAGCCGGTCCCAATTAAAAGCATGGCAGGGATGATTTGGGTTTTATTTTAAGGTCACATTATAACATGCAGAAATAAATGTAATAAAGTTACATTTAGTAGACACCCACACTGAAATATTGTTGCATGTAGATCAAGCATGCCACAACTCAATAAGGTAAACAAACCTGAGCAGGAACAAATGGAAAAGACCATGAGGGCAAAACACAAGAGTCAGTTGAACTGGTCGTACTTATAAATGTGTGTTGAGGTTGTTCAAAACTTCTCTTTAGTCAGGCCTTTTTCTCCGTAGTAGTCCCAATGCCTTCTGGGAAAATCTCTGTTCAGTTTATCACCAATGATGCAGAAGAAAGTGATAGTCAGTCATCCAGCAGAGGCTGAATTTTCTGGTATCTGAGGGGAATTTGTTTGTCTGATTTATGAGCTGTGATGTTAGCACTTGATTCGGATCATTAGATTGTACGGTGAACTAGCAGCTCAGTGTGGAGCCCCACGTATTGCACACTGTGTTTTGCTTCAATGGTTTATCAGTGGAGGGCGTCTGCATTGCAAAGTATTGCGTTAACACAAGGCAGTAGATACAAACCTTAAAACAAACACAAAATGTGATTAGAAAAAGTTTTTCAGCTGTTAACTCCAGAGTGAAACTGTGGAATCATTTATCATTGAGTCTATCTCTTAGGACGCTAATGTAAAAGATAAATGTAAATTTATACAAAGGAGACATTTCAAGGACTTTTATTAATCTTATTAAGTCAGAGAAACAGTTTCTGACCTTAATATGAATATTAGAAGTGCACAATGTGCTCTTTCATTGGAAAACAAACATCTCAGCATTAGTTTTTAGGACTTTTTTTTAAAGTTTACAATTAGGTTTAGCCTTGAAAAGGTTCAGCTGTTTATATCCTGGAAGCTGCCCACAAATAGATAAAATCCACAAAGATTATAGAGCCCCTCAAAAAATGCTAATAGTTTTTAACAAAATAACTAGTTTACCACTTCTTTTCTGTTTGAAAAGGAACAGGAAGATGTGAACACTTATTTAATCCCACCCCTTATCTCAATTTGACATATTTATTGCTGACTCAATAATTATCAAAAATGTGTAATTAAAACCATGTTATAATAAAATGGTTACAAACCAACTCATAAGGTAAGAAAATTTATGGATAATAATAATAATGGTAATAATGACAATTGTAAATAATCAAACATGCAGCATCAGAAAAATTACCAATTCCTTGCCAATGTACAACTATAAATTCTTCCTAATCTGTGTTATACAATTATAAATAAAATGTAAAAATAAATCGGAGAGAAAAAATAATGATAATAATGATGGTAAATAATAAAAATTACTTATTTCCCTCAGTGGAAACCATCTCAGCACTAACACAGAAGCTTCCTCGTATCTGCATTGCAGCCAATCAGCAGCGAATGAATGGCACTCCTTGATTGGCTGCTTTGTAAACAACAACCTATAATCTGTCAAATAGCGTCACGCCAAAGTGTTTCATCTTCCTAAACTGCACCAATTCTGGTCGCCAGATGATTTCTTGGCGAATCTGTGAAATTTAGCTATCATTTTTATTTTTGTTTGTTGGAAACAGGTGAAGTAGAGAGCAACAAACACTCGGTAAATTCATCTGACTAAATGAAACCACTTCTCTTGCTCTCAAGATGTTCGATGAAATTTACTGTAGGACAAAGAACCTACTAGAAAATATAACACAGATCATTTCCTTGGGTTCAAATGCAGCTTGTGAGAGGCTGAAATGAAACCCATCCCAGTCTCAAAAGAGAGGTCATGTGACCGGGTCGGCCATGCAATCCCAAACCTCGACGGTGGCAACGCTGTTTCCACTCAGGGGAGATGACATCACCGTCTACCTGCAGCACAGGCCGAGGCGCGGGGTAGAGAAGTTATGATCTGTGTTTAGCCGGATTTTACACCTGCGAGTTGTTTAGTGTGAAATGGCTTCAGTGGAAACATCTGCAGGTAGATGTTTGCATTTCCCTGTGGATGTAAGCAGGTACCGGTGTTGTGCTGTTTGACTTTAGCTGATTTGAGGTGTTTTATGGTAATTTTGGGTTCCTGTGTTTGTTTTATTTTTGTTTCCGAGATGTACAGCTGATTTTTATAGAGCCAAAAACTTTAATTTTAGAGTTCAGCTCTATTTTGTTCCACTTTTGAATGTCTGTATAACCCAAAAGTGTTGCTATGAAGATGAGTGAAAAATACTTGTGAAAAATAAATTTCTTAACATTCAACTCAAAATTATGGGAGTACAGTCAGAAGATAAAGAAAATACACTTTAAACTTTTTTACATTTTACAACCTCGTACTTTGATGGGTTTTATTTTAATTTTTTGGGAAATACAAACCCAGACTGGTTCACAATTATCAAGGAAGATGCAAGGTTTTAATTTTCAGCATTTTTCTTTTAGAAATAAAAATTTATGTGGATTTTTATTATCTTTATTAACCTTTTATTCAGCCATGTTATTCAGACGCATTGGATCAGGCACACATCATGCAAGCCTTCAATCGATTGAACTTCTTCCAAAGTCTGAAGTTTTTCCAGGTTTGATTTCACTGATATTGAATCTTCAGCTCTTCAAACCTGAACATGAACTTATTGTCACTGCTGAAGAAAAGCATCAAGATCCATTACTGTAGGCCTAAAATGGTGGGAACTTAGAGACGACTTTCACTTTGAGGAAGAAGCCAAACTGGAACTTTAATCGTCTTAATGTTCGCATAAAATCACTAATCATGTCTCAGAACAAAGTTAAAGTCCTCTGAATAAATCTGAATGACACATTTAACCTTTTATTAAGCCTGCAGACATTTAATAAAACAGCATTTATAGAGTAACGTTTACATTTTCAACTTTATTATTTTTTTCAGGTTCCAACCAAAAAGCTGAAAAAGTTTGAGAAGGAGTATCAGACGCTGAGAGAGAGCCAGCTGCAACAAGAAGACCCCATCGATCGATACCAGGTTTGAAAACTCAACTTGATCTAAACGCTGACAGAGAAGGTGTTTCTGTCGCTGCTAATTTTATCTTTGGGTTTATACTGGAAATCTTTTTTTTTTTCTAATATTAGAAACAGCTTTGCTTTGTTAGACGGTGTTTGTGAAAGTATTTTTGGTTCCAGTGACTCACTTGTCATTAATGATGCTAACATCTTTAAAAATAGGTTTTAGATTATTCTGCCTTGAGTCAGATAAGCACAGCAGCAACATCTTTGTTCATGATGAGGCAGATGCTTTAGTTCTGTTCATAGATTTTCTTACTTTTCCAAATAATTTCTCTGTTTTTATTAAAGCAAGTAATACTGGTTGACTCACCACCAGAGTTACTCTGTACAATTATAAAATTTGATTTAAATATTTTCCAGGTCTGGATAAGTAGAGAAAATAAAATGTAGCCTTTAAACACGGAGAAAGGGAAAAACTTTTATCCCGACTACAAACCTGAAGATTTCATGAGGAGGTTTTTGATGGGATTAATTAATTTCCTTTTAATCTCAGTGAAGCTCGAACTGCTGATGCTTTAAGGCACTCTGCTTGGTTTGTCATTAAATTCAAGAGCAGAATCTCAAAGTGGAGGATGAGCCATGATATCTCCATGTTGGAAATTGTTTGTTGTTCCAAAATATAAAGAAAAAACTTCTGAGTTAATCTTGGCAGACCCAAAGAAACTGAATTTTTGCTACTACGTGGTTGTCTACCTCTCTGTTCAGAAGTCAGTCGTTTGTCCGTATGTCCGACCATCTGTGCCTTCATTCATCCATCATTCTGTCCATCCATTCCTTCATCCTTCTGTTAATCCTTCTCTCTGTCCTTCTTTCCAATTGCTCATCCTCACCTCCAGCTAACCATTTAGTTAAAAGCACCACTGAACGGGAGGCGAATCCAAAACCTGCTGGTTCAATTCCAGCTTCTAATTTGCTTGTTTTGCTTAAGTCTTTGATTTTAACTTATTGGTTTATTCATTTTGTTTGTTTTCTTGTTGGTTTATTATTAGTATTTTTGTTAAAGTATAGAATGAATTTGTTGGTTAGTAATTTCAGTGGATTTAAGCCTTATGTGTAAACCTGTATGCATGTCGGTGGTCATGGATTTTTGCAAACCTGTGGTGCATCTGAGTTACATTTGTCTCCGTTTTGATCGATCTTAACTTTTTTTGGTTAAAACTGACAGTTTGGGTGGATGTGGCTCTAGTGTAAAATGCTTGGAGTGATAAGTGTGACTAGAAATGCGATACAGTTCATCAGCCTTCATCAACAATAATTTACTGACTGATTTTAATATCCACAAAAGTGTGAACTCATCGGAACTGATCAAGACAAATAATTTTGTAATCACAATAAATATTATTGTGATTATCTTTATTAAAATAACTTATTGTGATTATCTTTATTAAAATAACTTAATAAAGATAAGTTATTTTATCTTTTGTTGGTACATCTTTTAAGAAATGTAGACTTGAATTCATTGCTTGTCAGGTAACCTTCAAGAATATGTTGAGATTGGATGCAAAGTGTATTTAGAGAGATTTCTTACTCATTTTATAGTTGGTAAACTTGTTGTTCTTCTGTTACAATGAACATTTTTTAAGATTTTCAAGAGGAATAACTGTTAATCTGCTTGTTGAGGGTTGGTTGAACGTCGGACTAAACTGAGAGAAGGCAGTACAAGTTACTAAAGTGCAGACATGTTTTCTACATTGGAACCAATCGTCTTTGAGCAACACATAAACAACCAGAATAGACAAACATCCAGAGTTGATTGTGGTCATTTTCTCCCAGAGACGAGGGCGATGCGCTGCAGGATAAACACCTACTTGTGGAGCAGAGGAAGGAAGGAAGGAAGAGTCTAGTTGCAGATAAGATGTTAGGCTTGACCTGCTGCTCTGGAATCACTTTTACTGCTCATGAGAAAAATCCAGAACCCTCCTGCTTTATTGGTGCAGATAACAGAATTTAATTAAAATAAAAAATAAAAACTCTTTGGAGTTGGAAGATTTCAAGGGTGAGTTATGTATTTCTGTTTTTTTTGCATGTGTGAATGTGAAGTGTGGTAAATTGCTCCTCTTCCGTCATGCTTTTGGTATTCAAACCAATGGAAAATAGAAGCATTTATAAATGGAAAAGAGTCTGTAGAGAGAGAAAGCGTGGCTGGGAAGTGTGTGACAGGAAAGTGAGGCTGTCAGGATCATGTGTTGAAGTTTAGTCAGCGCTTCCAGTCGCTCTATCTGTGGACGTTCTGACCGCGGACAGGCGCTCGGTAAGCCTCCTCTGCTCCAAAACACCTTCTCATTCAATGTTAATGTTAAATGTTTAGAGATTTGCTGTTTATATAATTTTATGTTTTGTTAGTTAAGGAGAATGGTTTGATTAGATAGTGGTAACAAGAGTTTTATGAAAAATTATCAATTTGATGCATGTGTATCTGCAGCAAAAATGACTAAGTTTGGTGTTGGTTGATGATCTCCCTGCACTTATTTATATATATGAAAGCTGAGCCATCAGTTCAGGTCTCTCATGCATATATCTGTGAATATTTATGTAAGTTTAGTGTCACTCAAGCATTAGAAAATGAAATTATTTTGAAAGTGACAGGGAAATCAGGGTCAGATGACCGATCCTGGACAACAGTTTCTTGCTGCTCTCATCAGATCCGTGTCATGTGACACGTTTACTGCCAGCCTGGCAGTCATGAGACTCCACTAATGGGACATAAAATCTTACATTTGACTTTCTGAGACCTGAAGATGCCCTGATATTGATCCTAAATGAGTGTGTTATTGTGTGTGTGTGTGTGTGTGTTGCTGTGTGTAGAGAGAGAACCGGCGTCTACAAGAAGCCAGTATGAGGCTGGAGCAGGAGAATGACGATCTGGCACATGAGCTGGTCACCAGTAAGATCGCCCTGCGGAACGATCTGGACCAGGTAACAACACCTGGACTTGGTTTTAGGAAAACAGTGTCACCCTGCAGTTCATGCTGGACATCATATAACGTGTGTGGTGTTGTTTCGATCAGGCTGAAGACAAGGCCGATGTTTTGAACAAAGAGCTGCTGAGCACCAAACAGCGGCTGGTGGAGACGGAGGAGGAGAAGAGGCGGCATGAGGAGGAGACCGCTCAGGTAGCGTTCGTCCTGGGTTACCGTCCAGCTCCTCAGCCAACGGCTGCAACTCGCTGAACAAAGCCTGTTTTCTCAGGCATTATCAGAGTTACTCATGTGAAGCTGCATGAATGGCCTCCCTGTTCCCATCTTTAGGAGGAGAACGTCCGTTAATGGCTGCATTCAGCTGCTGTCAGTGAGCAGAGAAAACTGATTCGGGTGAAGGATGATGACTAAAGGTCACGTTATCGCTCCGGCTGACATTTAGACAAAATCAGCCAGAAATCAGATATTCTCATTATGCAGACTGTTCTGCTCTTAGTTTGATCAAGGATTTGATAAATTAAGGGTTGCAACTTCAAAATCTCAGTCAAGTTTTACTGATTTTAATTTAGTTCAGTTGAGATTATCTTGGTGCAGCGCCCCCACAGGCGAGGAGGGGAACAGGTTTTCCAAATGGCTTGTTGTTTCATTTGGCAGAGTTCAGTGTGAAAGTCAATCAAACCCAGTCTAATGAACTACCAGGTGTGAAAACAACTTACCTGTTGACATTAGATCCGCCAACAGTCGGGAACATTTTAAATCACTTCTTAGTTTTTATTCTTTAGCTTTTCCAAAAGGCCTGACATTGTAATTTACTTCCCTTGTCTGTTTCAATGTGTGTTTTATTCTTATGTTATCTGTGTTTAATGAATGCTGTACAGCACTTTGGTGTAGTTAATATCTGTTTTTAAAGTGCTTTATAAATAAAATTGACATTATAAAGCAGCGACTCCAGCTGGGTGGAGGCAGCATCATGCTGTGGGGATGTTTCTCTTTAGCTGCAACAGGGAAGCTGATCAGAGTTGATGAGACGGTGGATGAGCTAAAGACTCACATTTCAGCAACCCTACACATGCATCTCTCTGTGGCCTAGTTAAAGCCCAGATATAAATATGAGACACAATTAAATGATACTCTCCATTCATACTTCCTGAGCTTTAGCTACTTTTGTCGAGAAGAATGGGCAAGAATTTCAAGATGGTTGAGACAGAAGGTGGTTCTTTAAAATTATGAGTCTGAAAAATAAATACATGCCACACTTTACAGATTTCTTTCCCTCTTCACAGATGAAATTACTTTTGACAATTATTTTGCAAGCCACTATAGCATTTGAGCATCTTTTGTATTGAATATAATTGACCCTGTTTCACTCTGTGTCTGATGTTTCATTAAGGGAAGTTTTTATTCTCCGTGGTGAAAAAAGACTAAAAATCTAGAGGGGAGAAAAACGTGTCAGATAAACTATCCTTTAATCTGTTTAATTTGTTGGTTTGCTTCAACAAAAAAACAAATTTAACACCAATAAATAAAGCTTCTGTACATAAATCAGTTGAACGGTATTTTTTTGTTTGTTTTGGTGGTTTTAGTTTTTTTCTATTCACCCCTTTGTCTCCTTTAGCTGAAGGAGGTTTTCAGGCGGGAACTGGAGAAAGCAGAGATGGAGATCAAGAAAACCACCGCCATCATAGCCGAGTACAAACAGGTAACAGGAGAAGCATAAAATGTTACTGCAACTGTGGAGAACGTTTGCAGATTCATGAGACATTTTTTGGGTTTATTTGCACAAGCATAAGGATTTGTTTATGTTAAGTATCCATAATTTAGATGAGCAATAGAGACTTAAGTGTTGCATTTATGGCCGTGTCATGTCTTGTGTAACTCCCCTTCATCTTCCTCGCCTCGTTTCAGATCTGCTCCCAGCTGAGCACCAGGCTGGAGAAACAGCAGGCGGCGACTAAAGAGGAGCTCGACATCGTCAGGGTGAGATTATACACGCCTAACGCACAGATGAAAGCTACGAGACATTTAAATTTCAGATTAAAAAAAACACATATGGGCTGAGTGGGACAGCGAGGATTTTTGTGAACCATCACAGCAACAAGGAGCTTCAATGCAGAAATAATCCCACACAAACGTTTAGTCCTCATTAAACAGGCGCTGGGAGGCAGCAGACTCTTAAATTTGATTCTTAACACTTTAATGTGTTGCAACAGTTGATCACACCGAGACACTGCAAAAACACAAAAACCTGCCAAGTATTTTCAGTTTAGTTTCTAGTTTCCTCAGTACATTAAAAATAAGACAAATCTACCTTACAAGTTACGGTTTAGCTAAATAAAGGAGCTTGTTTTCAGTAAATAATTCCTTAATATTGATTTAAAAAGTACGTGTTCCACTGGCAGATTACTTCACTTATAACACTGTAAAATGTCTTGTTGTTAATTAAATATGTGGTCAGTGTAACTTGTGTATATTTATCAATATTTGGGAATTATTTACTCAAGACAATCTCCTACATCAACCTATCACGATAAATAATATTTCTGGACGATAAATTGTTTAATATTGATTAATATTGTTTTTTTGAGACCATTTTAAGGACATAAGAACATATAGTCAAACATTAATAAACATTTAACACTGCAACTGGTAGATATTTTAAGTAGTCAAAACACAAACAAAACAAAAGAAACAGTAATTAAAGTGAATTATGAAGTTTCTGTGAACAAAAATTTCCTTCAAAAAATGGTTAGTTCAGACCAAAACATGAAAGTGAAGAGTTTTGTCTTCCAGTTTTTGGTAGAAAGAGAGAAAAGAGAAAAATGATAAATCATGCAAATGGAAATTATGGAGCTTGTTTCAATTTATCATGCATTTGGTTGATTTATTGTTTATTGCAGCAGGTCTACTCTTATGTCTTGCTAAAAAGTTACCTGTAAGTGAATTCATTCTTATTCTAGTGACATTTGCACCAGAAACACTTGGTAAGATTTGGTGTTTTTGTTTTGTGGTTATTTGTAGTTATTTGCAGTAGAAACTAGATGAAAAAGTACTTGGTAAAGTTTAGTGTTTTTGCAGTCTTTAAAGAGTTGCTACACAGACAATACTCAGAAGATGATGAGATATTAAAACTGTCTATATTGTTGTTTCCTGATTTTGTACAATAAATATCAATTGCAAGTTGAAGCTGTTTTTCTCTGCGTCTTGCATCTAATCTCTCTGCTTTGCAGAATTTCTTCATCTTTCTTACATCAGCGCCATAAGCAGATGTGTTGTTTGTGCAGAATAAAGTGATGAGCTGCGAACACTGCAGAGACCTGTTCAGCCCCGTGGGCTCCCTGCAGGCGTCGTCCCCCGGCGGCGACGGGACGTCCAGCGAGCCTCTGGACGAGGAGAAGGACGGGCTGAAGGAGCAGCTCAGGCAGCTGGAGCTGGAGCTGGCTCAGACCAAGCTGCAGCTGGTGGAGGCAAAGTGCCGAATCCAGGTGAGCAGAACCAAACGTGCTTAAAATAATCGTTCATCCACAGGGAGAGAAGAAATCTATTTTAAGAAAAGGGATGTAACCCTCTCCTGCAGTGCATCATTGTTCCTCACTGGGAAAAATTAAATGGGAAAAAATAAATAAAATTTTAGGTTTATTTGCTGACGATTACAATAAAAATCCTCATTTTTCTTACACAGGCTAATGCATTAAATCTATGGAGGCTGATACTTATATGTGAAGCTGATCTTATCCAGCTTCACAAACTTTTTATATGTTTATGTTTGAGTAAGATGAACATTGTTCTTTTATTCTATAAACTACTGACATGTCTGTGAAATCCCAAGCAAAAATTTAGTATTTATTTGCATAAAATGCAAATTTTTATTTGTTTGCAAATTTAATAAAAACTAAATTTGCATCCATAATGAAACACTAGGAAGCCCGGTCAGAGTTCTGGTTCTGTTCTCTGTTTACTCTGTTCCCCTCTCTGTCCTGCAGGAGCTGGAGCATCAGCGAGGCGTCCTGATGACGGAAATCCAAGCTGCTAAGAACTCGTGGTTCAGCAAGACGCTGGGCTCTCTGAAGAGCTCGGCCTCCTCGTCCTCCAGCTCCGTGTCTCAGACTCCGTCCTCTCCGAAGGACGGGCCCGCCTAGCCGGACCTCCATCACTTTGCCCCTCCAACATTCCCCTGCAGGATGCACACTAGCGTTGCGAACAAAGGCTGAAGAAAGTAGTGAAGGAGAAATGCAGTATTCCTTTTTTTTTCAGTGGGTTGGAAAAAGATGAGCTTCCTTAAATTGCGGACGATGAAGAGGAGGGAAAGACGTTCTCTGCTCTACAGCTACTCAGTCTGGTGAAGATGAAGTCCGAAATTAGTTTAAAGTTAATTTGTCACAGGCATCTTACAGGTCAATTAGCACCATCTTGTGGGCAGTTGTTGCTATTGCAGAGAAATAACGGTCAGGATTTTTCTAGTAGCTGAAACTTAAACCACAAAATAGGAAATGATTTTAAATCCATCACAATAGTTTTATACATCTACTATTAAAAACATAAACACCCAGCTCTCTAAAGAAAGGAATACTGCCTACTGTAGTCAATTAAAATATCACACAAGTTGCAATTCTTTATAGTAATATAACGTAAACAATGTTGTCTTATAAATATGTATAACTAATTGTTGACTTTTTTTATTTTAAATAATCTTGTACAGTTCCTTAAAAGAAAAAAGACACAGAAAAGCTCTTATATTTCTTTTCTACTGTTTGGAAGTTGAATCTCATCTCTGTAGATGTTGATGTAAGCACAGTGTGTGACGGATCGGCTCGGGTCCAAACGCCGAGGAGCCAAAAAGTGACGACCTGCAGAGAGTTTCTGCTCACCCCGAACCGTGTCCAACATGTTTTCTGCTCTCAGAACATTTATCTTTTATATTTTGCAACTTTTAATTATTCAATTTGACTATTTTTTCATAGTTAGCACTTAATATTTTAAGTTTAAAGCACCAAGAGGCCAAATTTCTTTCAAACAGGTTTATAACAGCATCTGTTGGCCTTAAAAGTTAGCCGAGTGGAAGCCTGTAGGTGTTGACCCTTATGGGTCTCTTAAAACGTTTCAAAAAATAGTAATCAAAAAGTAGATCGTGATCAAATCACTTTTATTTAAAACAGAAACACAGCAATTGTTCCTGCTGTTGTTAAAATAATCTCACATTTTAATTATTCCAGTTGTTCTGTAGCATGTTATGTTATTTTGATCCATAAATATGGAATAAATTATTGCTAGATTTTTAGAAAATTCTCTTTTTTTCTCTTTAAAGAGTTGATATTAGCTGATTGATTAGTTGGGCTGTTTGCAGTTGTAGCCAGTCTGCAGTCAGCTGCTTGCCAATTAAACTCTCAAAACGGCAATACTTCAGTAGGAGTGATAGGTGGCGCTCTTCTTTTTCACTGTTCAAGTTTAGTGCAAATGGAAATTAGTCAAAATAGACAAACGAAACAAGATGTTTTGTCTCGTTTCGTTGGATAGATCAGATTTCTAGAAATGATGCAGAATTTCTAAGAAGTTTTTAGAAACACAAATTCAAATATTGATCTAAGAAAATTTTAAAACCTTTAAGCTGGTACTTAACTATTGTAATCCACAATAGAAAAAGCAAAACTTTCCTTGTAACATCTTTATTTAAGCTAAAATTATCTCCATAAAGCCAGAAACTCCAAACAGCTGAGCACTCAGATTATCATTCATCTGCTACTTTGCATAATTTATCCCCAGGTAAACAGATTTTATCTCATGATACTAATAAGCAACATGCGGTTGCAGTATTGCTGTCATTGCCAAACCGTCTGGTATGATCGTGCCAACATCCCGTTTGTTCTTGAATTTTTACACTTATTTTAATTCATCTGGTTAAAGCACAAAAGCAGAAAACATTTCATATTCAGGTACATGTTGAGGATGATTTTCTTGCCAAAAATGTAAATTTCGATGCACTTTAGCTTCATGTCAGAGAAGCTGCTTGGCTTTATTCCTCTCTCTGGTTGACACTGAAGTCGGCCTTTGGACTCGGACCAATCCCACGTGTTCGTTATGTGTGTGTTTGCTGTAACTCAAACGTTTGAAGTCGTTTCTTCATCTTCACGTTGCTGCCTTTTCTGTTGATGACTGAAGCAGCTGGCTGGAGAGACGAAAAGCCATCTGAGTATCTGAGAGCATCAGCTGTGCCATAAGAGCCTCTCCACGGTCTTCCTCTGCTCCGCGGACCGTCTGCACCACCCTGAACGTTACTTTGTACCAGACAGATTACGACCTAATCCCAGGATTCGCGTCATTTCTCCATGACATTCCCGTTCTGCCAGTCTGGGAGTGGAAGTGGTTGAATCGGGTGGAGAGAGCTCCCAGTCTGTTATGTGCACTAACCAAACGTGGATATTTTAAACACTATTTTAAAATGTTTGTTTTTATCTCATGACTGTTGCTGAGAAGAGATCGGCCCGTTTCTAATCTAATTCAGTTCATTTCAGAGTCCCGGAAGCAGCAGATGAGTCAGATTAGAGGCGGCTGTCGTTGTGTAGTTTACAGTTTGTTGTTGAGATCTCAGTCTTGTTACAGACGGCTCCTCAGCTGGTCTGACTTCACTGTTTCCATGTACAGAAACTGTTTCAGCTGCATTAATAAACTTCAGTTTGTTCATTAAGTCTCAGCTTTTTATTGAAACAAAACACTTTGAACATAAAGCAAAGCGTTAAACCAGGCATCGTGTTGACCAAACATTTTTCTGTCAGTGGCTGCGTTTCTATTGACCATGAAATTGCACAGATTCAAAGTACGAAAATTAATTTGCCAATTTTGGAAAAAAAACAAACAAAATTCAATAAAAAAGATTTTGCAACTCCAATGTAAACACTTTTTTCACATTATACAAGTCACATGATCACCAGCCAGACGTTGCTACTGCCAAAAATGACAAAGATGACAGGAAGTAGTAGGAGGATGATGGTTTGTTTTTGTTTCCACCAGAGCTCTCACAGAATAGCACAGTTCATAACAGTATATCTCTTAAAATAGTAAAAAAAACAAAAGAGTCTTTAATATTAGGTGACAAGGCAAAATACTTTAAACTATGGATTTTATTGCAATTTCTCTCAATAAATATCAATAATGCCAGGCATGTTTTCTCAACATTTTTATTAGTGTTTGCATTTTTTTCCAGCTTGTATAAATAAACACTTGCAAGTAATAAGTCAGATCTGTCTCAGATTGTTTTTTTACCCAAAAAAGCATAAGTAAGTAAACTGTAAACAACTCCTCTTGGGTGACAAAACAAAGATACAAAGGAAAAAATAGCGTTATCATTTTCAACATTCCAGGGAATCCAGGAAAGTCAAATATAAGCAAATCTTTACACATGCAAGCTATAATATCAGATATTTGCTAATTAGCTTTTACTTCAGTTTCATGCCCACAGATATATCTCCTATATTTTGCAGGAGTTTAACATGAAAATCCGTCCTGCATAAATGTCCCAACAAGTACCAAGTCACCAAAACCATTAAGGTAATAACTTTATCAGAAGCAAAAAGAGACTGATTTATCCAAACTCACTAAAGTGAACAACTTCCTGATTTCCTATCTTTTTTTGTTGAACTTAAAAGTTTCAGATTATGATTACTGCCAAACCTGCAGAATAAACTTTTAGAACTGTTTCAAGAACATCATGCACTGATTTAAAGATGAACCGATGAGAAACAAAATTATCAGACTGGAGTTGTAAAGTAATTTCTAGGTGAGATTGTGGTGAAACTTCCCAAGACCAAAACTCAAAAAAGAAACACGTAGTTGTTTCAACCAATCTGTATGAAGTAAATACATTCTGCTGCATTGAATATGTTAAACTCTACAGTTGTTCTGGATAAATGCATAAATACTGACACATCTGGACATGTGGATAAGCCTGAGCTGTCAGGTTTTGTGAATACAGATTCTTAATCTTTGCATTCGACGCTGCTCAGTCGGTCGCTGAGGTCATCGAAGTAGTTATCGACGAACCGGAGCATCTGGATGACGGCGCTGAGCAGCAGGATATCAGCGTTCAGGTCCAGCTCCAGCTCCCCGCTGTAGTTCTTGACTGGAACAACGCAGGACAGCGGCACGCCCAACCTGACGCTGACCTCCTGCATCTGGACCACACAGCGGTTCAGAACAGTTTTATCAAGCTTAGCATGAACACTGAGAGTAATTTATTTAAAAGAATCCTCACTAAGTCCTTGATGTATCCGCTCTTATAGATGTTTCTCAGATCGTCTTTCACCAAAGGACAAGCTTCATCTACCTTAGTGAGCAGAACCAGCTGAGGAATCCCTGCAAACATTTCCAACATGCTGTAAAGTTTAAACTTTTTTCAAATTCATCAGTAAAATGATTCAGTGACTGGTTCTACTGACCCAGCAGGTTAACCTTTCTGCGGATAACTTCCATCTTCTCCTCCAGCTTTGGGGGCATAATGGAGACCTTGCTGGCATCAATAACATAAGCCACACAGTGGATCTTGTCTTTGACAGCCGGAGACTTTTGATAACCATGAGTCTCAGCATGAAGAGGAGCAGCGGGGTTGAACTGTCGACGTAAACGAAGAATATGTTAAATTTACTTCATGTAACACACAAGTTATGCTTCACAAACTGTTATCAAACATCCCACCTGGTAACAATTCGGCATATGACCCTTAAGGATGCTGCTGATGTCCTCCACATCAAGCCCCGCCCCTTTGCTGTCCTCCAGGCCCATGGTGTCGCACAGGATGATTGGCAGAGGTTTGCCTTCTCGTCCAGCTTTCACAGAGTAGGTCCGAAACTAGAAAACATTTTAAAAATATACTATTGTAAAGATTTTTTTCCCTGAGACACAGGAAACCATGTAGCTGAGAAGCAGTCAGACCTGAGTGGTGAGGCTGGTGGAAGAGCTGCCAGCGATGGCCTGGCTGGTGACATGGCCTCTGAACACAGAGTTGATGGCGTTGAAGAAGCTGGACTTTCCGGCTCCGACCTGTCCGATGAGCAAAACCCGAGCCTGGGGCACAGAACTGACTGTGGGTTTGTAGGTTCTGATGCTCTCCATCAGCTCAGCCCTCTTCCTGCAGAGAAACATCAAATTACCGAGAAACTGCCAACAGTAAACCTGATGAACAATTGTTTTAAGCAAAAAGATAAAAACTTCCACATATATTGTTTGTTTAACCTCTAATAATCTCTAACAAATGTATAATATTTTCACAAAGCAACGAGATTTAAATTAAATTTAACAGATGAGGCCTCTGTTTACTTATTCACTGATTCCTGAAGGGTGAGAGTTGCACTGAAAACTCATTATGGGTGTCAGAGTAACTAGGGGTTTAACATATTCATGTATAACTTTTCAGATGTTTTTTTTTACAAATAAATTTTAATAATTTATGTTTGACAAAATGTTGAAAAAGTTGAAAGGGAGTAAATACTTTTACACTTACTGAGATTCCCAGACGACTGTCCTCCATGGCTTCTCAAGTTCAGTAGATTCTGGTAAAGAGCAACTTAATTAAATTTAAATTTTCTCAGTTTTTGCCTTGCAAACATTACTTGTCCAAAAGAGTTTGTAGATATTATGTAAATTCAAATTTTAAATGTAGTTAAAGAGCATATTTAACATATTTGAAATGTTGAGTAATGTGCACCAGGCAGTAGACTGAACACATAATGTATGAGAATTTCTGTTTTTAAATTTTTGACCGTGACATACGTTTTTTACTAAAGACTCACCTTCCACCTGGTAAACTTCACATTCAGACAGCTTCAGGTCATTTCCATGCATTTCTGCAGCATTGAAGTTGTAATAATTCCCCGGAGCGCTGTGTGTCACTTGTTGGTTTCCGTAGAGAAGAGCAAGAGCATTTCCAAAATTAGGACCAGAGTTGCCATCCATTAAGAGTGCATAAGCAGCATTAATACAGGGGTATTTCTGGAGTTTTCCACCAGTAAAACTAAAAAGAAAAGCCTGGTTATCATTCACCCACTGCCCAGACTGACTGAATGGTTGGCTGGCGTAGCCTCCAAACACATAACCAGAGGTATTAAAGCCCACAGACACAGTGGGCGCCCGGTTGTCACATCTCTGGTGGAAGGCAGCACCAGTGAAGCCGTGGACGGAGGCCTTGTAGAGCAGCTTCAGTTTGACATGTCCCAGCTGAGAGCAGATGGTTCTCTGGTGGTTCCTGGAGAGCAGTGGGTTCAGAGTGGCCATCTGAGCTGCTGATCTCAACTTTTACAGTAAACTCAAGTTTGAATCTGCGAAATAAACACACAAATTACATCAAAACACAATGAATAAAATATGTTTCAGTATGTGTAGTGAATTTATATTTGAGTGCCATATTTGGAAGTGATTACCAACATTTTTTTTACTTTTTACTTATTTTCGTTTTTACTGAGATAGACCTGTGTGCTCTTAAAATAATCACGTTACCTCCGAACTGCGGCTTAATGTCTTACTTTCTATCGTTTAATAACGCAGAGAGATAAGTTTTGTTTTCCTGGCTGCCTGACTGAAACACCACACATAAAAACAACAATAATTTAATAATAAATATATATTAGGGAACTGGAGAATAAATCCCCAACAGACATTACGAGAAACAGACTTTTGGATAAACATTACGTCTTAGTGTCTGTTCATATTTGACACTGAAGCTTTGGATTGAATTTATAGGTTAAGCGTAGTTTAATAAATCCCACAAGAAGACAGTAAATGTGACAGTGGAGCACGGATACATTTATACATATTTAAGCTCGGTCATAGTTTAAGACTTACCTCCTTTATATTCTGCAGATATCTGGTTAAAGGCAGGTCAACCAAAGGATGTGTCTCGCTGTTCGCAGCAGAAATGAAACTTAAAAGCTCATACTTCCTGTACTGGCCCCCTAGAGGCCATAAAAGGAATGACCTAAACTCGTTTCTCTACTTGATGGGTTTACTGTAGGAAATTATTTGTTACTCTACATGACGTGAAAAAGTCTTTAGAAAATCTCCTTATAGTCTGTAACAACTGTACCAATGGGTCATCACATTCAGATTTGTGGCTTCAGTTCCATAAAATAAAGTTTTGAAAGTAAAAACAGGAAGAACCGATATGTAGGTGAATGAAAGACAGAGAGGTGATCAAGACTGTGGAGAGATTTGTGGGTAAAACTTCAAATTTTGTTACTTCTGACAATTATATAGATGTGAACTGTAATAACCTGCAGCTTATTTTGGTCCAGCGATATATAACCAGTTAGGATCACTGTTAAACACTGAAAAGAATAAAACCCTCATACCAGGATATAAATGATCACAATTTAAGAAACCAGCAGAATAAAGATGTAGATATATGTAAATCAAAACAAGTAAAAACGACTTTACCTCCAAAAAAGTGTAACTTAAAGTTAAAATATTTTTTGTACAGTTGAGATAATGAACAAAGAGACAGCAGAGGTAGCAACTATAGAGAAAAAGCAGGAAATAACCTTTTGTAATTGCAAAAATAACCAGAGTATGCAAATATGGCTTGATGAATATAGTTTTAGTTCAATTTAAAAAAAAGAACAAACAAAAAAAAAAACACAGATTTAATTGTTGCTCCAATAATAGTGGAGATGATGGTTGGGTGTTTGTTTCGTTCCAAAGCATTACTTGTGAAAGAGTCCTGGTCACAGTGGGACTTCATAGGATTCACCAGTTTGGTTAGCATTGAAAAAATTCCTCCATGTAATGGCTAACTGACAGACATGATGATGGATAGAATTACATGTTTGGCTTTTTTATGTTTTAATTATAACAAAAATATACACAGAGGGTAATCCATTTTTTTCCAAGAAGCTAAAGACCCCAATCATCATTCTAATGGAACCAGCAGTTGGCCAGCTGACCATAAAACCCTTATTCTTTGGTTCGAAGGTTCCCAAGTTGGTCGCTGATCTCATCAAAGTAGTTATCAGCAAACCGGAGCATCTGGATGACGGCGCTGAGCAGCAGGATGTCAGTGTTCAGGTCCAGATCCAGTTCCTCGACGTAGTTCCTCACTGGAACAATGCAGGACAGCGGCATGCCGAGCTTAGAGCTGGCCTCCTGCATCTGGGTCACAAAGCACAAACTCTTCAGCCCAAATTTTCACAACCTAAAAGAAATTATCTGTGAAAACACTTACAATTTCCTTAATGTAGACACTCTGATAAATGTTTGTCAGATTCTCTTTTAATAAGGGACAAGCTTCATCAACCTTAGTGAGTACAACCAGCTGAGGAACTCCTGGAAACACAAGCAGAAGTAAAACAATTTAAAGATCTGTTTAATATGTGCCCACGTCAAGTATTTGGCTGACCTAAACATCATTTCCAAACCAAGTACAACTGGTCTGAAAACAAATACATTTTTGTAAAGCAACTTTAAGGATTTTTTCCTTTACACACACAGTTAAAAGTAGATATTTACATACATCTCTTAAGAAAATCTCGTTTTCCCTCAATGCCTGACATTAAATTAGACAAATCCTTCCATGTCTTGGGGGAACCAAAGGTATATCTACTTGCTAAATACCATAATAATTTGAGAAAATTGTTATTCCATCCTGGGGTCCCTTATATTTAATATCTACATGCCCCTGCTGGATCAGATTATGACAAGTAAGAAGATTATTGGGCCTCCTGTAGTTCATTAAGGACTGAACTTCAAGATTCTGTAATTCTACAATATACTGCATTACTTTCAGTTTCAGCAGGAAGAGGAGTTTTGCTGCATGAATGGGACATTATATTAACAAGAGCCTTCTTCTGCATCTGTCATTTGTGAGGATGTCATTAAGGAGGCATTGCATGACCACCAATCCCCACTCATTTTTTCTTCACTGGTGAAGGAAGGCCCACTCCTTACCAGGAGCTCTGTAGTCAAACGGTCAGTTGAACGTTCATCCATTGTCTGTATGTCGTCTGAAGGAATAAGCCTTGACCTCGGCATACTCATAATTCTACAGAAGGAAACTTTGAATTATAGATTCCTCAAGGTTGCTGTAATTAAATTGATTCTCACTGCCATTCTAACAAATACTGTGGAAATGTATGTTCACTTCTGATTTTGAAGAAAGTAATACACAATTATCACTGTCGTTACTCTGGAATTCGGCAAATAGAATTAAATTTGTAATCCTATCTCACCTAGAGCCTCAGTCTAGTTTCATTTAAAATACACTCCAATTTTTTAAAAGTTATCTTCTTATTCAGAATATGTCATCTGGTTTCATCTGTAAAAAAAAAATGCTTAACATACATAATCAATTTTAAAAATCCATTATTTTGTTCCACTGACCCAACAAGTTGGCCTTTTTGCGGATAGCTTCCAACTTTTCTGCCAGCTTTGCAGGCATGATGGAGACCTTGGTGGCATCAAGGATGAATGTCAAACAGTGGATCTTGTCTTTGAGGTCTGGAGATTTGCGATAGCCGTGAGACTCAGGATGAAGAGGAGCAGATGAGTTGAACTGTCGATATTTAAAGAAAAGACGGGGTTTGTTTACATTAGCTTACAGTCATGCTCCTTTACTCATTTTGGAATCAAGAGCCCAACCTGGTATCGATCCGGCATATGACCTTCAAGGATGCTGCTGATGTCCTCCACATCAAGCCCCGCCCCTTTGCTGTCCTCCAGGCCCATGGTGTCGCACAGGATGATTGGCAGAGGTTTGCCTTCTCGTCCAGCTTTCAGACAGTAGGATCGAAACTAGAAAAAATGAAAACACAGATTTTTAAAAATATACTGTTGGAGAGATTTTGGTTTGTTGAGACACAGGAAACTATGCAGATGAGAAGCAGAGTCAGACCCGAGTGGTGAGGCTGGTGGAAGAGCTGCCAGCGATGGCCTGGCTGGTGACATGGCCTCTGAACACAGAGTTGATGGAGTTGAAGAAGCTGGACTTTCCGGCTCCGACCTGTCCGATGAGCAAAACCCGAGCCTGGGGCACAGAACTGAGTGTGGGTTTGTAGGTTCTGATGCTCTCCATCAGCTCGGCCCTCTTCCTGTACAAATGTAAATTTAAAAGAATTTATACTCAAAATAATTTATAACCGAAAGAGTACTGCAAAAACTTGAATAATTTAAGTAATAGGTCACTGAAGAAGTTGGATTCCCACTGTATTTGCTGCTAACCTTTATTCTCTCAAAACATAAGCTGGACTGGTGTCTGTCTCTGGATTGGTGGTCACAAAGTAGTTTTATTTTGACTTTCTCGTCCAAACTGAGGGTTTCTTCCATCAAGAAGTCCACTTCAGTCATATTTAAATTAGGAGATACTGACAGCAGAAATGCAGAAATTAAAAGCCCAAGCTTTCTGATAATGATTTAGGTTTCCATACTTTAAATACAAAACCTTCTGAAACTAGACCTCTCTCTCTATATATATATATATATTAGCTCTATTAAAAAAGGACTAACATTGTCTGTTACCAATATAGTTCTTATATTGCTATCCAGTGTTACTAACTCTATTGTTTATGACATGTCCCAAAACTAATATGCTGATGTGATATTATGTGTCTTGTTCCATCTTACTCAATATTCCAGATTATAGTCCTCCAAGGATTCTCGATTTTAATCTTTCCCTTTGTTGAAACTGTTGAAGAGCAAAAGTAAATCATCATGTAAAATATGAAAAAAAACCCTCAACGAAGTTTATTCAAACACAAGTACAACTCACACACAATCTGGTAGACTTCACACTCTGTCAGGTTAAGGTTATTTCCGTGCATCTCTGCAGCATTGAAGTTGTATTGAATCCCTGGATTACTGTAGACTATTGGTTGGTTTCCGTTGACAAGAACAAGGGATTCCCCAAAGTACGGACCGCAGTTTCCATTCATTTTGACGGCATGTGGAGGACTAACAACTGGATATTTTTTTAGTTTTCCATCAACAAAACTAAAAACAAATGCTTGGTCATCATTCACATACTGTCCAGACTGATTAAAAGGTTGTCTGGTGTAGCCTCCAAATATGTAGCCACCGGCGTTATAGCCCACAGATAGAGTGGGTGACTGGTTGTCACATTTCTGGTGGAAAGCAGCACCAGTAAAACCATGAATAGTGGCTTTGTAGAGCAGCTTCAGTTCAAAAGGTCCCAGCTGAGAGCAGATCATGTTCTGTTGAGTACTGTTGAGTTTGGAATTCATTATGGACTGCTTGAACTGATTATCTAAAACTGCCGAAGGAACCTTTGACGTTCGTTCACTCTGGAAAAAAGAAGAATGAAGTAATGATTCAGCAAATAACCTCTTCTGGACTAAAATGTAAACCAACTGACAAAATCCATTTGAATAAAGTTTAAAACAGAAACACACATAATATTAAAAAGAATAGTATTCATCTGCAGTTTGTTGCTCTAGTCAATGTGAATCCATGGGAGCGAAGATAATCATTTCACAGGTTGCATAATCTCATTATTAACATTTATATGTAAAGGATCTGTGTCCACATCTGCTCTAGCTTCCTATATCTCATTAAATGTTTTCAAGGATTCTTACAGATTCGTCTTTTGTTTTCATTACTGAATAACAATTTAAATCAGATTAAAAGTTTTTCTGAAAATGCAGTTTAAAGCAAAGGTTAAGTATTTGCAGACAGACTGAAACAACTCTTTAAAGCCAGCAGGTGGCAGCAAACTCAAACTTAGAAGTGAGAAGTCAGTTTCCCTACAGCAGCAGCTTCGTTTATTTCACTGCCCTCTATTTCTTCTCAGAAATAGATGCAGGCCAAAGGTCAAGTTCATTTGAGGATGAGTCAACGCCATAAAATCTCGCCAAACATAAAAAATGTAATTTGTCTTATTTTATTTTTTTGTAAAGTGACCTTTTATGCTAGTTTGGACCACCTCCAGCAATTTTTCTTTTGATTTTTCTTATTTTTTTGTTGTTTCCCCTTAAAATGTACATCTGATTTGTTCCAGTTAGCATAATGTGTTTAACATTGATAATCACAAAGCATGTGCTCAGACTGTTAGCATGTTGGTAATCCTGCTTGTTCTCTTTTACCTCCTAGTGGTGAATGGCTGTATTTACACCACACTTTATTCTGCGTTAAGGAGCACAAGCAGCATTTCTACAGATGTCTTAAACATTTATTTTATCAGTATTTCTACCATCTAAAGGAGGCCTCATTATTTGTGATTCACATTTCAATAACTTAATGGATAGAATTAAAAGTTAATCTACTTTTAAGTGATTCAAACTGAAATTCAGTTTTAATCCCCACTCAGTTGAACATAAAGTTTTTGTTGCTTGCTTCGTTGTGCTTCACTAAAATACCTCACCGCAAATAAGATATTAGTTGATAGTTTTAAAAGTGCATAGTTCCAAACTCTATTGGCTCGCAACTAAGTGTAATTTCAACTCGTAGGTATGTACCTCTAATAACAAAAGTAGAAGAAGTCATTAATCATAAACTTACCTTGCTTCTTTTAGAAACAGCTGCAGGATGACGGGCAGAGCTCAGTAACTGTGAGGCAGATGTTCAAAGCGTAATAAATCCTACTGCACCCAGCAAAAGTGAAACTAAGTCTAAGACTTGGGCGTGCACTAAGCATAAAATCTTTCTGCTTTCACAACTTCTGCAATCCCAGAGTTTTTCAACTAAAATCATGATCAGTCTACTGACGGCTAATAAAAAATTATTAGGATGCAGTAAATGTTTTATGTTGTGTTGCTCCATATATGAACTTGAGAATTGTTTCAGTTCTAGAGAAGCTGAATGAACTGTTCTGAGGCTGCTGTGCCTTATGCTTGGATTTGTTAAGTATGTAAATACATCTCATGTGAAGAAAATACCATTCTGCCAAATTTTCTGACTAAAATGTTTGTTTCTTCTCCTGATCCTCCACATTTAGCAGGTTAGACCTTTAGGTTAGGCTATTCTAGCTCTCAATATTAGCTTTTGACTAGAGTGCCTGCAGACAGGACAACTGTTTCTTTTAAATGTAACAGTTTTATGTTTTGTCCCCACTCAAATAAATTTAGATAAATAACAATATGCAGATCATACTCCTTCAGACTGCATTCTTTCATAGATAAACTACAATCTTCAGCATGGGACTAACAAGATGATGTCCCGTTATTTTTACTCCATAAAAATAAGGCTTGTTTGTGTCTACATTTTGTGAATTACATAGCAAGAATTAATAGTGACAGAATTACTTGTACTCAGATATATCTGAGAAAACTTGGGAAGGGACTCAAAAGAAAGCTGAAACAATCCAGTAAAAACTTGTTAGACCAGTATTTGTTCATGCTTGTTCTTTTCTAAACGTCTGAAAAGAACTAATGCTCTTTTCAGACTTTCATTTTCAGTCAAGCTTCAGTCAAAAGATACAGAAACTGAAACAATCCAGTAAAAACTTTAGACCAGTATTTGTTCATGCTTGTTCTTTTCTAAACGTCTGAAAAGCATCTTTTCAGACTTTCATTTTCAGTCAAACTACTATATGCTCTTTTCTGTTCCTTCTCTATTTTCAGATTTCTGCTAAATCTTTAGTTCACTTCAAATTCAATTCAAATTCAAAGATACTTTATTGATCCCAAAGGGAAATTAAATGCTGTTGTAACTCATATTAATTAAAATTCATCAGAGTTATTGTAGATATATATATGGCATATATATGCCATCACTAAGTGTTTGCCCTTTCCAAACACTTAGTTGCTCTGTGTCTGAGACAAAATTAAATCACATAAAGTAAATATACAAAGATTAGAAAATAGCTTTGATGCATATGAACTCTCAGAGATTTTGAGTAATAAACTGTCATCCTGTTGTGATGAAAGTAGCTGCATCATCTCAGAAACACTTTGGCTCACACACATATTATTTAAATTTATCCATTTTTAAGATATGCTAATTTATTTTTAACATCTGTAAAAATTCTAATTATCAGTGACCATTAGGCTTGATACACATAGCCATTTCATCAGTTATTTGTGATTCATCATCTTAGATTCCTGTATTTTGCAGAGATAGTTAAGCTGCTTAGGAGCCTTAAGGCTCTCAAAATCTTTCACAGTACAAAATGTACAATACTCTGGTTGCATAACATGAACAACTTCAAACTATTATTGCTGTAGAAAACGAAAGAAAGTTTATGTGGTGGATTTGAAATCTTTATTACCCTTTCCAACCAGTAGAGGTCACTGTTAAGCACAAGAATAGAAATCTCACGCCAGCATGAAATGATCCGAAACAGAGCCGAGCCGAGCTGGGTTGTTGAAGTAGAGCTGGTGGAACCAGCTGGAAAATATACATAAGTAACAAAAATTAGACTTTCCTCCAAAAAATGTTGAAGAGCGACTTAAATGTAAAATGTTTTGAAACAAGTGAGAAAATGAAATGTTTTGTACAGAGTTAATGTTGTTAGCCAGAGTTGTACATATTAACGCAGGTATTAAAAAAATAGCTCTAAATATCAATTAAAAAAACTTTTAAGAAAGTGTAAAGATTTAATTGTTGCTCCAACAATATGTTTTGTTACAAAACATTATTTGTCAAAGAGTCTTGGCCACAGTAGGACTTCATGGGAGCAGACACAGTTTAAGCATTTTAAAAACATTTCTCTCAGGACAATTAAAATGAATAAAAGTTGCAGTAATTATTTTAATCATACATATTACATATTTGGCTTTCTAAAATTTTAAATGTAATAAAAAATATGTGGCCTGTTTTTTAAAAGAGCAGAAGATGTCCAAACGTTTTTGTTTTTTTAATATTTATTTTCTAATGCTCTCTCCACTTCTTGATAATATCAAGAACATTGAATCTGGGCAGCGATGGTTATCCATAAAAACCTTCATTCTTTGTTTTGAATGTTACTGAGTTGGTCGCTGATCTCATCAAAGTAGTTATCAGCAAACCGGAGCATCTGGATGACGGCGCTGAGCAGCAGGATGTCAGTGTTCAGGTCCTGATCCAGTTCCTCGACGTAGTTCCTCACCGGAACAATGCAGGACAGCGGCATGCCGAGCTTAGAGCTGGCCTCCTGCATCTGGGTCACAAACTCTTCGACTCAGATTTTCACAATTTAAAAGAGATAATCTGATAAAACATTTACCTTTGTGAAAACACTCACAGTCTCCTTAATGTAGACACTCCTATAAATGTTTGTCAGATTCTCTTTCACTAAGGGACAAGCTTCATGGACCTTGGTGAGTACAACCAGCTGAGGAACTCCTGGAAACACAAGAAGATATAAAACCGATTTTAAAGACCTGTTGAGGCATCTGGACAACTTAAACATGGAGAAACTTTGGTCACACATACAACTGAAAGCTGATATTTACAATCACAGCGTAAGACGACACAACCTGGTTTCCCCTCAGTGTTTGACTTTAGATCAGAAAACCTTCCTGTTTTCAGTCAATTAGACCTAGCAAAACTATGTCTATTTGCTAAATGCCAGAATGATGTGAATTATTATTTGTTTTATTGTTAGATGTTGACTTATACTAACATTACACTGGTCAACAGCCTAAAAATTACAACTGTTTTTGATGAGCTGAATCCAAAAATCACATTGGCTTTGCTCATTCAGGTGAACTTTCTGAACAACATGAACATCAAAAAGCACGACTTGTTCTCACATCTGGATCGATTTCCTGATAATCTGGGACCAATGAGTAATGAGTAGGAGAGATGAAGACATAATGTTCAATTCACATGTACTTAACCTTATCAGCGTTTATTATTCAATTTACAGAAATCCACGTTTGTAACATTTAATTAACACATCTTGTTAGAAAACATTGATTTTCCTCTAAAACTTTTTTGGATGAGAAATATCAACAGAAATGAACTGATAATGTCCCAACAATGTCATCAATTGGATTTCTCTAAATCAAATTAGAATACAAACCTGACCTGATTGAGAAAAATGGATGTCAACTTTGGTGCAAAATAATCCTAATTCAGTAAAAAAAAAAAATAGACGTCTTCCAAAACATTTTTTTTTTTGTATTTTACCTTTAAACAATTTGTGAAGTCCCACAAATGTTGGCATCAAATTCTGAAGCATCTGAGGTAAGTGGAGGCTCATTAACCACACTGATCACTTTAGTGACATAACAGGAAAATGAACAGAAATCAGGAGGATGACTTTAGACCTCCAGATGTTTGATTCATCCTCATGAACAATATCCAGATTTCATCAAGGGGGCCCATTCATCATTTAAACCTAAACATCATCATCCAGCTTCCTTACCAATGAGACATGAAAAAACAGGTTCTATGTTTAGAAATAAACATATTTTAGTGCAAACTGAATCTAGTGAGTTTCACTCTGATACACTAATGGTGCGTTCCACTAAAGTGAAACCTCTGGAGACGAAGATGCAAAGGATTCTTCATAAAAAAAAAGAAAATCATGGACAACCCAGATCGTCCTCTTCATGATTCTGTCTTGGGAAAATAGAGTGTCTTCAGTCAGAGGCTTCTTCAAACTCACTGTAATACAGACTGCTACAAGAGACCTTCCCTGGCAACAACCATCACCATCTACAATAACTCTTTGAAGAATTTTAATTAATATAAATTACAGCAACATTTAATTTCCCTTTAGGATCAATAAAGTATTTTTTAAATTTGAATTGAACTGAACTGAATTGGTACATCATTCCACGGAGGCAGAACTCCTTTCTACTGACCCAACAGGTTGGCCTTTTGTCTGATGGCCTTCAGCTTTTCTGCCAGCTTCTCAGGCATGACAAAGACTTTGGTGGCGTCAAGAATGTATGACAAACAGTGGATCTTCTCTTTGAGGTCTGGAGATTTGCGATAGCCGGAGGCGTCAGGATGCAGCGGTTCAGACGGGTTGAACTGAAAAGACGGGGTTTGTTTACATTAGCTTACAGTCATGCTCCTTTACTCAGTTTGGAATCAAGAGAATCAAGAGACCTGGTATCGATCCGGCATATGACCTTCAAGGATGCTGCTGATGTCCTCCACATCAAGCCCCGCCCCTTTGCTGTCCTCCAGGCCCATGGTGTCACACAGGATGATTGGCAGAGGTTTGCCTTCTCGTCCTGCCTTCACAGAGTAGGTCCGAAACTAGAAAACATTTTAAAAATATACTATTGGAAAGATTTTGCTAAGTTGAGACACTGGATACTCAATGAATTAGAAGCAGAGACAGACCTGAGTGGTGAGGCTGCTGGAGGAATAACCAGCGATGGCCTGGCTGGTGACATGGCCTCTGAACACAGAGTTGATGGAGTTGAAGAAGCTGGACTTTCCAGCGCCGACTGGTCCGATGAGTAAAACCCGAGCCTGGGACACAGAACTGACTGTGGGTTTGTATGTTTTGATGCTCTCCATCAGCTCAATCCTCTTCCTGTACAAATGTAGAAATAAAATAATGAAAACATATTGCCAAACACTTTGAGCATGCACATTGAATCTTCATACTATTTTTCAGAAATCATTTGAAATTGATCAATAACGGACCATAAATCGTTCACAAAATATTCTGTAATAAAAATGGAGAATATGATATTTTTAGATGGGATGGAATATATAGTTATTGATTTTAAAAAATCATTTTAATTTAATTTCTTGGCAGCTAATTCTAACTATAAGCTGCTATTAGTAATGATAAATCACCACTGGAATAAATGTAACTGAGTAAATGTAACTAGTTACTTCACAACTGCTTTTCATATGCAGGTGTGTGTCTCTGTCTTACTCGGGGTTCCAGATTAAAGTTCTCCATGGATTCTCTATTTTAATCATTTCCTTTGGAG